GAGCAGGCCTTTGGTGAAGGAGGGAACCAGCTCTATGACCATCAGAAGCAGAGGGGAGGGACAGTAGTCACCATGCCCTGGGCAAGGAGCCCCAGGGTGCTTCAGGCACCACCTGGAAGAAACCGTGGCGTCAGTTCTAACCTGCAACCTCTGAGCAAGCTGGCCCCTTGGACCCTGTGGCCCCAGGCACTTCCCAGCAACTGCATAACCTGCCCATCCTTCCCAGGCTGACCAACATGCTCCTGCTGACTCCAGGTCGGTTCAGTGGCACCTGCATCTGCATTGGAGTCCTTGGGCTCACATCAGGGCTCTGCTCCTAGGTCTGTCAGCCATGGGTGTTAGTCATAGTTCTTGGGTCTCTGCCATCCACACGGAAGACCCAGAAGGAGTGTCTAGATCCCAGCTTTGGCCTGGTTCGGGTGGCTGAACAGAGAGGGGTGAATGGATGAACAGGTGCAGGGCAGATAGGTCGGCAGCTGAGGGATCCTCTGGCCATGTCCTCAGTAGGAGCAGGAGGCTTGCCTGCTTGCTGGGGGAATAACTGGGTGGTAATGCAGGGCCCCAAGGGCTCAGCTGGGCTGCCTCAGCTTCCTCACTAGGGCAGAACAGGACATGGAATGGATGGAAATCAGAGCAAGCAGACTGATATCCAGTCACCTTCTGTTTAGCCAAATTGGCACCCTCAGAACTGCTCCACTTGTATTCAGATGGTATACCCAAATTCATAACTGGTGCTCAGCTGGCAAAAGATTGCAGGGCCCTATCACATAACTTCCTGTTCCTCCTTCCTGAATCTCAGCTCCTTCTCTAGCGTGAAGAGGAAGAGGCTGGCCTGGCACTGCCCACTGCCCCCATCTCTTGATCACAGGCAATGAAGACCCTTCCTTGCAGGTCTGGCACTCTAACAGGTTCTGTTACGCCTGCATGCCAGCCACATGAAGTATTCCTCTTCCACATCCTAGGCCAGGCACTGTGATGGAAGGGGCTGAGAGGGTCCAGGGCGAGGCCAGAGCATTGCTGCTGGGTAGAACTGGGGATAGCGGGGACTTGAGATGGGGGAAGAACTAACAGGACAAAATCATGGAAGGGAAGGGGAGAGAGGGAAAAGGAAAGGAAGGGGAGGGGGGAGGGGAGGGAGGGAAGGGGAAGGGAAGGGAGGGGAAGGGAGGGGAGGAAAGGGAGGGGAGGGAAGGAAAGGGAGGGGAGGGGAGAGGATGGGAGGGGAGAGGGAGGGAAGGGAGGGAAGAGGGAGGGAAGGGAGGGGAGAGGATGGGAGGGGAGAGGATGGGAAGGGAAGGGAGGGGAGGGGAGGGAAGGGAGGGGAGGGAGGGGAGGGAAGGGAGGGGAGGGAAGGAGAGAGGATGGGAAGGGAGGGGAAGGAAGGGTGGAGGAGAAGAGAGGAGCTCACTCCTCAAATGCTGCAATAGCCAGGGCTGGGCCACACTGAAGCCAGAAGCCTGCAGTCCAACGCAGCTGTCCCACATGGCTTGCAATGACTCAATTCCCTCAGCGCCCACTTGCTGCCTCTGAGGGTACACAGTGATAGGAGGCTGGAGTTGGAGGCACAGTCAGAACATGGACCCTGACTCCCTGATGTGGGAGGCAGGTGTCCCACGCAGCAGCCTGACCACCCTGCCAGATACCACCCCACATCAACCATTTAGTGTCTGCTGTGTGCCAGGCACTATGTTGGGTACTCCCATCCCGTAGATTTTTCTGAGGCCTCTAACAACCTCCTGAAAGGCATTACTCTAATCCTCAAAGTGAAGTCATGGCATCCATTAGGGTGTACAATCACACAGCCAGCTCAAATGGGCAGCCTTGGCCTGGGCGCTGGGGACAACAGGAGCCCAGATGGACACGGCCTGTGCTTTCGTGAAGTGCAGGCAGGCATGCAGGACTTAAACCAGCGCATATAGGTTGTGTTCTCGAAGTTCCTCATCGCCATGATGAACCAAAATGTGCAGGGCAAGGTTGGAGGGTCAGGAACAGTTTCATCCACAGTGAGGACAATAGGAGACCTTCGTTACTTGTACCTCTTTGTATTTATTTATTACAGAAAACTGAAACCTTCAGCCAGGCTGACTGGCAAAGACCGGGTTACTTTGTAACTGGAACTGGCTTTTTTTAAGGTCAGCATTTGGAATGTACACTTCAGCGCAATTTATCTGTTTGAACAGACACTTTGCTGGTCACAAGCTCAGCAGTTTGCTTTTTGTCATCAGGACATGGAAAGGAAAAGAAATATATACTTGGTCCGGTTACAATTGTACAAATAATAATACTGCATTATACTAATGGTACAAATTATGCAACGACAAGATTGAAGGGTTTTTTTTTTTTTTAAGATTTATTATCATCAGAAAGGCAGATACCCAGAGAGAAGGAAAGACAGACAGAAAGATCTTCCATCTGCTGGTTCACTCCTCAAGTGGCTGCAATGGCCAGAGCTGAGCCAATCCAAAGCCAGGAGCCAGGAGCTTCCTCCAGGTCTCCCACAGAGGGGCAGGTTCCAAGGACTTTGGTCATCCTCTCCTGCTTTCCCAGGTCACAAGCAGGGAGCTAGATGGGAAGCAGAGCAGCCAGGACATGAACCAGTGCCCATATGGGATCCTGGTGCTTGCAAGGTGAGGATTTAGCCACTGAGCCATCCTCCTGGGCCCGTCATCTACTTTTATTGGTTGTGGGTCATCTGTGGTGACAAGTCTCTTGGGGTATGTGCAGCTGGGGTCAGGACTCAATCGATCCCAGTCCTGGAGTAGTTCAGCGAGAACTAGAACTGACCTCATCCATCTTGGGGAGCCCTCTGACAGGCAATGGCACGTGAGATCCCCCAGGGTCAGCTGGGGTCAGTGTTCTAGGAACCAGCAATATTCATCTTGCTTGTTACACCAGCGGTTACACATGCACATACTTAGAAGGGAACTTTGAAAAGCTCTTAGGAAAACAGAAGTAAAAGAAAAGTGGATTTTAGTGCAAAAAAGTTTGCACTTTATGCATAATGAGCATTTTACTGAAACTTTGCTCTCATATTGCTAAAGTGCCCTCTACTGGTAGAAGCTAAAAGTGCACAGGTGCTCACGTTTTCTTAGAGCCAGGCAAGCAAGTGCAACCAGAGAACCAACGGGTTAGGTGGGGTTACAGGGTCCCTCTGGGAAGTGTGCAGGGGGTGGGAAGGTAGCAAACGCCGGGGGTGGAGGGATGCAAGAAACCAGACAATCAGTGCTGTGAAGACACGGACGTCCCTTCCACCTCCTAGGTGTTGAAAGTGAACAGGGCTGATGAGACGGCTCAATGGCTAAATCCTCACCTTGCAAGCACCAGGATCCCAAACGGATGCTGGCTCATGTCCCAGCTACCCCACTTCCCATCCAGTCCCCTGCTTGTCATCTGGGAAAAAGACGAGAATATCCCAAAACCTTGGAATCCTGCATCCGCGTGGGAGACCTGGAAGAAGCTCGCGGCTCCTGACTTTGCTAAGTTAGGACTCGGCCCAAGCCATCCGGTGTCAGTGCTAAGGGGACTAGTGGGTGTCTTCACTGACAAATGATGCTCCCCCCATTGCAGTGATTTTAGGGATGGCAAACGTATATGTTAATTCACATCACCTGTTTTGGGGGCCTCCCCACTGCCATTTATTTTGATGTGGAAGATTTAACTCTGCCTCAACATCTTTGCTCTTCATCCCATTGAATGACTAAGAACATTGTCACCGGGGTCAACCGTAGGTTTGAATTCCCACGCTCTGCTTACTCTGTGGACCCGGGTAAGTAGCTAGCCTTCAGTGAAACAGCGTCTTCATCGGTGAATCGGGGAGTGTACTGGTTAGACGTCACTAGCTACGGCTGTGGGAGCAGCAGCCCTGCACCCCAGCAGCTCCTTACGGGAAAGGTTTATCTCTCACTCCCGTGACATGTGAGCTGTGGGCTGCTTCACACTCCTGCAGCCAGGCTGGTCCAGGATCCAGGAGACTCATCAACCCAGGCCCTTGTCCCGAGTGTGACAAGAAGACCAAGACAGCTGGCAGGAACACACAGTGGCTCTGCCAGCCTCTGGCCACATTCTGTTGGCCCAAAGCAGGTCAGAGACCAAGTCTAACATCACCGCAGCTAGAAAGGCCAGCTCAGCCACAGGAGCATGGCAGCCCAGTGGCAGCAGGAAGGACCCTTACCTGGGTATAACCCTTACCTGGAAGAATAAGAATGGGAGAGCCTAGACCAGCAATGCCATCTATCACGGGATAATTACTGCACCTGCCTTACATTTAATGCACACTCAATGCTTGCTTTTCCCCTCCTGAAGGCTTAGCAGATGTTAGATGTCATTTTTATCCCGTCTTGGTGCTACTCAAAGTTCTCCATACTGGCCTGGGCTAATCTGAGAGAAGTCGAAATCACACCCAATATTTAACTTGAAGGTAATCAACACTGAAGGCTTTGAGGGTAAGGTAGATTCCTTAGGCAAGTTAGCTATCTTCTTGGAGTCCCAGTTTCTTCAACGTAAAGATGACGTACGGACCGACGTAGGCTGTAACATCCGCCCACCGGGGACTTGGACACCCAGCCTCAGCCAATCACGAGGCCCGCAGCGAGGCTCCGCCCCCGGGGCGTGGTCTCCAGTGTTGTGCCCGCCGCGTGCAGACCGTCGTCCTGGAGAAGCGAATACGTCACACGCACGCAGGCCCCGCCCCTCTCCGCTCTCGCCGCCGGCGGAAGAGGGGCGGGACCAGGGGCAAGGCCCCCGCGGCCGCCGGCGCCGCCGCCTGACTCACCTGCAGGTGGCCGCTGTCAGCTCCCGCCGATCAGGCAGCTCGAAGGCCACTCTGTTTTGGGGTCCTCGCCGCCCTTCCACGTCTCCCGGAAGAGACAGCCCCGAGCGGTTTACTAAGGGTTGTCCCTTTGCGGGCCGGCGGCCGAGGGCTTGCGGCCCAGGGTGGGGGGCGTCGAGGCTGCGGGCAGGCGGCTCCGGAGTGCCCAGGTGAGGCGACGGCCAGGACCCCCGGACGGGCTTGGCGACGCTGGCGGGGCGTCGTCGGCTTTGCTCTTTGCTGTGTGGGAGTCTGAGGACGGGGCCAAGGGGTGCCCCGGACCGGCAGCCCAGGGTGTTTGTGACGCTGCGTCCTCCTCGCGACCCCCGCCACTAGCACCGTCGGGTGGTCCGGAGGCTCCAGCAGGGTGGTCGGGAGGATCGTTCCTCGCGGCTCCATAGTGTGCGCCCCCTTCCCCATCCCAGGCACCCCATGCCCGAGACTCGGGAAGGGGTTCTGTTGAGGGCTTTGCGCCTCACAAGTTCTCCCCGGATTGGTTGCTAGCGAGGCGGACACCCAGGCCACATAGCCTGCGAGTAGTGTTTGCCCGGTGAAGTGATCAGCGTGGGCGTGTGTGCCAGGGCCTGCAAGACCCATGCAGGTTAACGCGAGAGTGACAAGGAGTAAGAAGTTAAGAACGTGAGTTTTGATGGTTTTCCTGGCCACCGGCGCCAAGCTGCCTTGAGAGTGCTACTGAACTGTAGGACTGCATGGCGTTCAGTATGTTACGAAGTATTTCAGCATCTGTTTGGTTTGCTGTGCGTGGACGCATGCTACAAGTTTCTAAAGGACCCGGTGAAGCCATTGCTACTTAGGACATAACGTGGTTGTGAAAGTCACACGTGATAAACACAGTGTTTACCCAAGAGCCAGTTCATGGAAATTGTGTTCAGCAGTTGGCCTGCTTTGTACTGGGCGCCCGGAATTCACTAGTGAACAAAACTTACCCTATTTCTATCGAATGAAGACCCACTTTAAGGATTTATTTGTACTTAATTACAGTGGCTCCAAAAACATTCTTAGGTCTGCTGGGTAAGACTTGAACCAGTGCATTCCTGGGCGGGGCAAGAGCAGATCAGCCCCAAATAGATGTTTTCCCTATGTTGAGTTGAAACCCTATGAATAGTCATAGTCTTGTGGTAGTAGCAGCCACTAGAATGGCCGCTGCCTATTTGCTAGGCATTTTGCCAAGTCGTTGTAAATATGTGTACCTCCTGCAGAGGAGGTACATGTCTCCTCAATGTTTCTGAGCGGTAGTCGGGTAGCTTGTTCAAGGTTACCCTCCTAGTAGGGGGTGGGGTTCGGATTTTCGTCCTGGACCGATTTGGAAGCCTAATCTTAACATTGACGCTGTGCCAACTACCACATCCGTCATTGGATGTCTGTCTTACAGGGTCGCCGAAGGATTAGCCTGCCCCCATCATGTCTTGGCTTGTGGACTTGGCGGGAAGAGCAGAGGACCTCTTAAACCGAGTTGATCAAGGGGCAGCCACAGCTCTCCGCAAAGAGAACCCCAGCAGCAGCAGGCTCGCAGATGGTGCCGATGTCGGCTATCCCGAACCTCAACAGCAAAATGCAGATTTGACCTACCAGACTGGATCCAAAGCCGCTTACATCTCCTCCGCGGCCGAGAACATTCGAAATCAGAAAGCCACCATCTTAGCTGGCACCGCCAATGTGAAAGTGGACTCCCGGACCCCTGCCGAGGCCTCCCGACCTGCCGAGAGTGCCTCGGTCCCCAGACCTTCTTCCCAGTTTGTGCGACGGAAGAAGTCGGAGCCCGATGATGAGCTGCTGTTTGATTTTCTTAATAGTTCGCAGAAGGAGCCCATGGGGAAGGCGGAGACCAAGAAGGAGAGGAGCAGGACGTCTGTCCTGACTACTCCTTGGACCACGGGCCTCAGTTCCCGCAAGGCCAGCGGGACCGTCAGAACCAGCGAGGAGAATGCTGAGAGCCACAGCCATGGTAGTTAACTGGTGCCCCCTTTCAGAGTGGAGCCGATAGGGTGCTGGCACAGCCTGAACGGCCTGGGCTGAGGGTGGGGCTTGCTGGCACAGCCTGGCCTAGCCCAGGAGACGGTGCTGTGCGTCTGTCTGTAGAGTTTACTCTGCCCAGCCCGGTCTTTCAGGAATTAGACTTGATTCTCCACGACACAGACATGTTGAGAATCTGTTGTCTTAATCAGCTGGAGAAGACTGAGGCTGTGTTCTCTGAATGTGCGCTAGGCCTCTGCGAAAACCATCAGGGCCTGAGTATTCTGAGTAAATAACTAACTGTTGATTCAGCTGTTGATTAGTTTATCATTTCTTCTTGATCTCGTTTTAGTAAGTCATACCTTATCGCTTCTTGGCCTTTTGTTTTCTCCTAAGAACTTGTGCATGTCCTATGCATTTTGAGGGGGATACTATTTATTTGGTTGAGTTTTAAGAAAATAATGGGGTGTCACGGCTGACACCTTCACACAGTCAGCTCCTGCAGATGCCCAAGCATGGCCACAGTGCTGCCTGCTTAGTGTCACCCAGGGCATGCTCAGTACTCACTTTTTTTTCTTTTTATCGGAAAAGCAGATTTACAGAGAGAAGGAGAAATAGAAAGATCTTCCATCTGCTGGTTCACTCCCCAGGTGGGTGCAGTGACTGGTACTGAGCCAGTCTGAAGCCAGGAACCCCAAGCTTCTTCCAGATCTTCCACACAGGTGCAGGGTCCCATGGCTTTGAGCCGTCCTCTGCTGTGTTCCTAGACTACAGGCAGGGAGCTGGATGGGAAGTGGAACAGCCAGGACATGAACTGGTGCCCATATGGGACCTCAGTGCATGTAAGTAGAGAATTAGTCTGTTGAGCCACTGTGCCAGCCCAGGACTGTTAGGAGTGCCCGAGGCTGCTGCAGGCCTGTTTTTCTGTTGGATAGGTTGGTGGAGTTGAAGTGCTCTGCACTGGGTGTGTAGCATGATTGCACCGACTCAGTACGCAGCTGGAAGGGTTGACTGTCACATTTAGAGCAAAGTGGCTTAGAATGCCCTTCTCTCCCAGAGGACCACTGCTAGCCATCTTGATCCTCTCTAGTGTGATTCTTTATGATTTTGTTAATTTCTGCTTTCTTTGCACTTATTTTGTGGTTTCTGTAACTTCTTAAGATAACATGTAACTGATTTATTTTCTTTCTGGAAGCGCAGGGACGTGAACCGGCTTCCATGTGAGATGATGGCACTGCAGGTGGTAGCTTTACCCACTATACTCCATGCCAGCCCCTTAACATTTTTGTCTGTTTATTTACTTACTTGTGAGGCAGAGAAAGAAATTGTGCATGTGAGACAGGCTTTGTTTCTGTCCCACACTGCCTGTGTGTGTCAGCAGATTGGCCAGATCTTCAGCTTGTATGCACCACATCCCATTTGGGTACCTGTTCCTGTCCTGGCTGCTCTACTTCCCACCCAGCCCCCTGCTTGTGGCCTGGGAGGGCACTTAAGGATGTCCCCAAAGCCTTGGGACCCTGTACCTGCTTGGGAAACCCAGAAGATGCTCTTGGCTTTGGATCGGCTCAGCTCTGACAATTGTGGCCACCTGGGGAGTGAATCAGAGGGTAGAGGATCTTTCTGTCTCTCCTTTTCTGTGTTGTTCTGCCTTTCCAATAACAATAAATAAAACCTTAAGAAAATAAAATATAGTGCCTGGCATGGTGGCCTAGCAACTAAAGTACTTGCCTTGCACATTCTGAGATCCCATATGATCACCAGTTCTAATTCTGACAGCTCCACTTCCCATCCAGCTCCCTGCTTGTGGCCTGGGAAAGCAGTGGAGGACAGTGCAAAGCCTTGGGACCCCGTACCCACGTGGGAGACATAGAAGAGGTTCCTGGCTCCTGGCTTCAGATCAGTACAGCACTGGCCATTGTGGTCACTTGGGGAGTGAACCATCAGATAGAAGATCTTCCTCTCTGTCTCTCCTCTTCCCTGTATATCTAACTTTGCAATAAAAATACATAAATCTTTAAAAAAGAAAGCCAGAGCTTGACCCAGCTGAAGTCAGGACCTGGGAACTTTATTCTGGTCTCTCATGGGGGCGGCAAGGACCCAGTCGTTTGAGCCATCACCACAGCCCTGCAACATGCGCGTTAGCAGGAGACTGGTAGGGAGCTGAGCCAGGAGTCCAAGCTCATGGGAGATGTCTGCGCCTAACTGGTGGTTCGGCCACTGGGCTAACTGCCTGTCAGCTCTTAACAGCAGTTTGTATGAGGTATTTAAATCCTGTATGGGGAATGAAATAGTAAAGTAAACCTTACGGCCATCCATGTTCAATACCAACCAACCCTTCCTTTTTTTTTTGTCTGGAAGTGTTTTATGTGAATGGCGAAGTTAGCAGAGAGGGAGAGACAGAGATGTTGCACCTTTTGGTTCACTTCCTGATTGGCTGAGGCTGGGCAGGCCAGAGCCAGGAGCCTGGAGCTCCTTGCTGATCTCCCTGGGGTTGCAGAGGCCTGAGCACTGGGACAGCCTTCTGCTTTCCCAGGTAGTATGGAGCTTAGATTGGAAGTGGAGCAGCTAGGAGTTGAGCTTGGACCCATGTGGGATGCCATTCGTATTACAGATGGCAGCTTAATCTGCTATGCCCCAGTGCCAGCCCAACACTCCCATTTATAAATCTTCATCTATCCATTCCCTACCATTCTGGGTTATTTTTGGGGGAGGTTGTTTTTTCTTTTAGGTAAAGCTTGTGTATTGAAATGTACAAAGGTGACAGCTGTGCGGGTGAATGAGTGTACGCGGGTAACCCACGTTTGTCATGAGAGTTGTTGGCCCCAGCACGTCGCTGTGTTTTTTTGCGATGAATCTTCCCAGTGTTATCTCTGCAAGCATGCATGGATGTCTTCGTTCTCGCCTTTCTAACACTTCGTAAAACTGAAAGCACGGGGTATCCACACTTTCTGATCTGCTTACTACCTTGGTGAGTGGGTCACGTTACGTTCTCTCCTGTTTTTGATTGTTGCGTGGGTTTCTACTTTATGGATAGACCACAGTTTATCCCTTCTCCATGTGAACATCAGGATTGTTTCCGGTTTGGGCTTAGTATCAGTAAGGCTGCTGTGAATGTTTTTGTACTTTGTGTTTTTGTGGGCTAATGTTTTCATGTCTCCTGGATAAATGCCCAGGAATGGAGCTGCTCATCTGTAGGTACAAGTTTAAGTTCACAAGAAATTGTGAAACTGTTCGGTGGTGGATCTGACGTTTTATGCTCCCTCCTGCAGTGTGTGCGAGGCCTGCACCCTCACCAGCATTTGGAATTGCCTTAATTTTAGCCTTGTTAGTGGATGTGTATTGGTTCTCATTGTGATTTTAATTTTCATTTCCTTGATCACCAAAAATGTTGAGTAATTTTTCATTGGATTATTAACCCTTTGTTTATATTAAACATTGTGAAGTGTTGAGCCTTGTCTATTCAGATATCATTTTATCATTTGGGACTAGTTTGTCTTGTGTAACAGTTTTTTCAAAGTTAGTACAAAGCATACACTTGGTAGTAGCAAATTGAGAATCAAGGTGAATGTGAATTCATGAGTAGCATTGGAAAGATGTTTTAGGTTCTGATGCTTTGCTTGCTTTGCTGCAGCATTCTCTTGTGCCTTTCCAGTGTTTCTCAAGCTGGAACTTTCTCCTCCTTTTTTTTCCAAAAACGTTTTGGGGCCAAAGTGGAGACTGACACCTTTTCTGCCTGAACGCAGCCACTCGGACAAACTCTTCTTTCTGCGCCCGGCACTGCAGTCTTGTACTCTTCGTCACCATTTGTTTGTGTATCCAGAGATCCTTGCAGGTCCGTAGGGTCCATTTGTGAGGATGACTTTTCCGAGGCGCTGCGAGACTTTAAGCTTGTGTATGGTGTTTGAGCTGTAGCAGTCCACATAAGCTGGAAGGCATCTTACCAAAATCTGCTAACAGTGCCTTTGTAAAGAGCGTGCCGGCATCAGAAACCCTTGTCCTCTTTTCCAGAAGCCACCAGTAGCCCAGACTCTGCTCCGGAAGAATCAGAGGCCTCTTCCAAGGAAAGTGTATCAAACTCCACCAGCACCGAGCACAGCTCATCTCCTGCCGATGACAGCAAAGCCCATGAGCTGTCTAACCTGCGCCTGGAGAACCAGCTGCTGAGGAACGAGGTGCAGTCTTTAAATCAAGAAATGGCTTCGTTGCTTCAGCAATCCAAGGAGACTCAAGAAGGTAGAGCCTGAGTTAAGTTATATAGGATGAGGAATTTGAATGTCAAAGACAAGCGTAAAACTTAATATCTGAACTACCAAAGATGGTTTTGATGAGGTGTGTTGGGTGGCAGGTGCATACAGACGTAGACACGTAGAACTTGGACTTGGAGCTGATCGCCCTCCCACTGGCCCCAGCCAGAGAAGGCTGCCCTGTTGGGTCAAGCTGAAGCACCCAGAACTGTAAGATGTGAGAGGATCAGGCCTTAGGTACCATCTTGCTCATCTGGTATGTTTGCCGTGAGTGTTCCAGGGCCAGGTTAACGACATGATAGGCCCTGGTTGTCAGGGTCCCAGCACTGAGGTACTGAGGGGCACACGAGCTTCAGATTCCTCAGAAATGGGTGGTGACAAAGGAAATAATCTCATGACTGGGGTGGAGATAAGAGGTGGTAGGTGTGTTACTGCATGGCTGAGAATACAGAAGAGACACAGGCTCACTGTCCTGGATCCTGCAACTACAGGTGGTTAGGAGAGTCTGGATCTGCCAATGCATTTTATTTTTATTTATTGAGTTAGTTATTTGAGAGCGCCGAATCCTAACCACTAGACCACCAGGGAAGCATGAGTTAGTTATTTGAGAGGCAGAGAGACAGACACAGGGAGAGGACTCCCATCTGCTGAATGCCTGCTGTGGCCAGAGCTGGCCAGGACGAAATCTGAAACCATCTAAGTGTTGTTCCTCGTGGAGGGCAGGGATCCAGGCGCTTGGGCCATCATCTGCTGCTGTCCCAGACATTTTAGTGGGAAGCTGGCTTGGAAGTGGAGTAGCTGGGACCCAGTTGCAGTTTAACGCTGCACCATGCCTGTTCTTTGATTGACTTTAATGCTGGCCTTTTGCATCTGCTAGTTTTGGCTCCTGGCTGCTTTCTGACATATCCCAGAAGCAGCAGCGTGGGAGCAGAGATGCTGGCTTTGTGCTCCCTAACCTGCTGACAGTGTGCCACTGGGGCAGTAAAGACTGAAGATGCTTGGAAGCTGCCAGTGTTGACCAGAAGCAAAGTCCTGAGGGGTCTGAAAGGTGCCTCTCTGCTCTGAGAAAGATATGTCTGATCTTGCTCCTATAGAGTGAATTTCGGTTTTCACAGAACTAAACAAAGCAAGAGTGAGGATTGAAAAGTGGAATGTTGACCATTCAAAGAGTGACCGAATGACGCGTGAGCTCCGCGCCCAAGTGGATGACCTGACCGAAGCCCTGGCTGCCAAGGATTCCCAGCTGGCCGTGCTCAAGGTGCGGCTCCAGGAGGCCGACCAGCTGCTGAGGTCCCACACGGAGGCGTTGGAAGCCTTGCAGAGCGAGAAGTCACGGTTGGTAGCTCTGGTAGCAGTGAGAGAAGCACACTTGAATGGTCAGTGGGCAGTGTGATAGGTAGGATATCCTGCCTCAAGAACATGGCTTTTTTGTTTTTAAAGATTTTTTTTTTTAATTTGCAAAGTCAGATATACAGAGAAGAGGAGAGAAAGGAAGATCTTCCATCTGATGATTCACTCCCCAAGCAGCCGCAACAGCTGAAGCTGAGCTGCTCCTAAGCCAGGAGCGCGGAGTGTCTTCCAGGTCTGCCACGCGAGTGCAGGTCCCAAAGCTTTGGGCTGTCCTCAACTGCCTTGCTAGGCCACAGCAGGGAGCTGGATGGGAAGCGGACCGCTGGGATTAGGACTGGTGCCCATACAGGTTCCTGGTGCGTTCCAGGCGAGGATTTTAGCTGTTAGGCTTCCATGCTGGGCCCTTCTTCTTTTTTAATTTACAAGAGGAACATTTCTTCTGACAGTGTCAGAAATACTTGTGGATTAAATGAGCTTGTTGTTTAAACCTTGAGATACAGGCTCTAGATCTAGAGATATTTGAAGAGCAGAGTGTCATTTTTTTTTTTTTTTTTTGTAAGAAGCATGTGGAGCACGCTGATCCGAGAGTCTGAAATCTGAAATGCTGCACCATCTGGCAGTTTTTGAGCCCTGACTTGATGCCACACCCAACCTGATGGGGAAGGTCACAGACAAAGCACAAGCCACACTGAAGCTGATCGTGTATAGTTACTTGCAGGCCTCTGAATTGAGTAGCTAAAAATATCTAGGGGCTGGCACCATGGTGTATTTGGTTAGGCCTCTGCCCATGGGTGCTGGCTTCTCCCGTGGATGCTGGTTCAGCCTTTGCTGCTCCACTTCCAATCTCATGTTCTGCTGATGTGCCTAGGACAGCAGCAGAAGATGGTCCGAGTGTGTAGGTCCCTGCATCTGTGTGGGAGCCCTGGGAGGAGCTCCCAGTTCTAGCTTCCTATCTGCCCAGCTCCAATCATTGTGGCACTTTGGGGAATGAACCAGCAGGAGGAAAATCTTGCTCTTCTGTAACTTTGCCTTTGAAATAAAAAATAATAATAGCCGATAAAATTATTGTCAGGCTATGTTTAATGTGAATAACAAGCAGATTTCGTGGTTATTAGATTTATTTCTACAAGCCCTCTCTGAATCACTTTTGTTCCTCAGCACTTTGGACAGGGGACGCACCATCATATGTGATGTGTGCTGGTATTTGAATGCCTAGAGTACAAATTGCGTTTCTCTATAAAGGAAAAAGCCATCTAAACCTGTTTGTTTGGCCAAGGCATCGTTGTCATGTCTGACTTGCAAGCTACGTCCTGTGCGCCATGACTGTGAGTGATTTCACATGATGTGTTTTCTTTCAGAATAATGCAGGATCACAACGAAGGCAGCAGCCTGCAGAACCAAGCTCTGCAGACCCTGCAGGAGAGACTGCACGAAGCTGATGCCGCCTTGAAGAGAGAGCAGGAGAACTATAAGCAAATGCAGGTCAGACTCCAGGGGTCTGCCTTTGGGCCAAGGAGGAAGGACTTTATACTGTTGCATAATATACTTGTTTAAAAAATAAAGATTATTTAAAAGGCACAGTCAGAGAGAGAGAGAGAGAGAGAGAGAGAAATGTGTCCACTGGTTCACAGCAGCTGAGGCTGGACCAGGCCAATGCCAGGAGCTTGGAACTCCATTCAAGTCTCACATGGGTGACAGCGGCCCAGTCACTTGGGCCACCTTTTGCTGCCTTCCCAGGCATATTAATAGGGAGCTGGAGTGGAAATGGAGCAGCCAGAAATGGAACCAGCACCCAGATGGGCTGCTGGCATCCCAGGCAGAAGCTTAACCTACAAAATGCAGGCTCCAAGTGGTTAATTCCAACAGCATTTCTCACTCAGTCACTGAAACTTCTTTGGGAATATATGATCATATTTAGATTTCATAAAATTTATAAGTGAACACATAGATTCAAATCCCCAAGCTGTTTAAAACATATTCAGGTTTCTAGGAATAGACAGTTACTAAAAAGATTAAGTATACACAGCGCAGGGTTATAGGAGGACTCCTAAGATACAGCTACAGAAAAACGTGCAGGAGTAGTCATACCGTTTTAAATATCATAACCCCAAATTGGAGATGATGCAGGTGCTGCATTCATTAGAAACTGTAGAATACCCAGGCAAAAAAATACTAGGTAGTCATCAAAAAGACTGCAGTGAGCGCTGGCTTTATGGTGTAGAGGGTAAAGCCATCACCTGTGATATTGGCATCCCATATGGGTGTTGGTTCCAGTCCTGGCTGCTCCACTTCTGATCCAGCTCCCTGCTAATGCACCTGGGAAAGTAGTGGAGGATGAATCGCTTGCTTGGGCCTCTGCACTTGGGTAAGAGGCCGGGAAGGAGCTCCTGGCCCCTGACTTCTCTCTGGCCTGGCTTTAGCCATTGTGACCATTTATTTGGAAGATGGAGGGTATGTCTCTCTCTCTCACTCTTTCTCTCTTTATGTCTCCCCCACCCCCACCCCGCAGCCACTCTCATCTCTTCTTTCTGTGACTGCCTTTCAGATAAATTGAAAAATGTTTTAAAGGACCCAAATGTTAATGGGTGCTGCAGTGTGGGTGTTCCTTGAAAACAAGGGGAGAACTTGAGGAGGACTGATGACGGAAAGCCATATAGTTTATAATTCTGTTGATGTGACTTGTCTAGAATGGGAGATGTGTGGAGAAGTACAGTAGCCTGAGTATAGGGTAGATCATTTCTCAGGATTGGTGGGAATGTTCTAGAATTCGAATAGTGGTAATGGCCACACGGCCTGTGGAATGCACTGAACACCACTGAAATGTCCCTTAAAAGGGTGAACTTTATGGCAAGTGAGTTCTTTCAACATATAGTTATTTATAAAGGTTTTCAGCAGTAGAATTGAATGTTAGTTGTTACATTTCAATTTAATTACAATAAAAATTTACTTTCCGTTAGATGCCATTCACATACTCTGTGGACTTCAGTGGTCTTGTTATTTCACTAAAACAGGAAGTGACTGGATCAGAAGTTTCTGGGCTTCTGGTTATTGGCGTGTAATTCAAAAAGCTTTCTGATACCACAGTTTTCTGGTAAAGGAAGCTTTTGAGAATAAAGCTAACGATTTTGAGATCTGGAATTTCTTTTTCCTTTTTTTTTCTTAATTGTTATTTGGAAGGCAGAGTTGCAGAGAGAAGGAGGGAAAAAGAAAGATTTTATATGCTGGTTCACTCCCCAGATGGCTATAATTTTGGCTTATTCAAAGCTGGGAGCCCTGATCTTCTTCCAGGTCTTCCACATTGATGCAGGAGTTGAAGAACTTGGGCTGTCTTCCACTGCTTTCCTAGTGGAAAACCAGAGAGCTGGATTAGAAGTAGAATAGCCTTTAGCCGGGAGTTGAACTGGTGCCCATGTAGGGTGCTGATGCCAGAAAGGGAGGATTAGCCTGTTACACCATGGTGCCAGCCCCCAAACTGGGATTTATTTCTAAATGGACAAAGAGGGAAAAACTGGTAGTGTATTTTTAGAGTGTTTTAAAAGCTTTTAAGCTAAAACAAAGAATTACATTGACTATTGAAATAAGGGAACCATTAGCCATGGTACTGTGAAGATCTAGCTGTTGACGTCGTCCTCCCAGACTTCATAGTTCTTTGTAGCCTTATTAGCCGTTGAACATCACATGCGTCCAAGGAACGAAACTAGACTGACAGAGAGCTCTCCTGTCTGTCGTTTCTTTTCCTCTGCCTGCCCAACAGATGAGCAAGGAGCTGGATTAGAAGCGAAGCAGCCAGTTCTCAGACTGGCACTTGTATATGTGATGACATCATTGCAAGCAGCAGCTTAACCTGATACCCTCTGGCTGCCTGAAAGTGCCTAGTGTTGGAAATGCCAGTTTGGGGTGGGGGCAAGGCCCTAGGGGGCTGCGTTTCTAGCAGACTGCCTCTCTGACCTTGGGTCCTTGCCCTATTTGGAGCCACAACGTTAGATGTCCTGTTCTCACAGGTGAAGTTTTCTCTTCCCTGTGACATTGTTGGGCTGAGCTGATAAACTCTGAGACATTTGAATGAATGTTGTAAGATGTATGTCCAAGCTAGTAAGTCAGCATGCTATAGATCTGAAAGAGAATGTGAACTTTCACAGAGTGAGTTTGCTGCACGTCTTCATAAAGTGGAAGTGGAGCGTCAGGGTTTGGCAGAAGCAGTAACCGTGGCGGAAAGAAGGTGCTCGGAAGAGAAGAAGCGAGGCGATGAGCTGCAGCAACAGGTCAAGCTGCACAAGGCCAACCTGGAGTCCTCGAAGCAGGAGCTGATTGACTATAAGCAGAAAGCCACGCGGATCCTCCAGGTAGGCACGAGGGCACACATGCAGTGTAGGAGACACAGCATGGATGCTGTCACGCACCCTGTGTGCCTCATTTCCGGTGCTGTGTTCTGCCCAACTGTTTCCACCAAAGATATGGGGCCTTTCATTTTCCCTCCCTTGTAAAGGATGTGTCCTGCCTGCACCCAGTTCACGTGTTGCCCTGTCACTTGCTCCCTGTGACGCCATAAGGGTGGTAGGGTGCTATCTGACTGTCCCCTGGGACTCTCACAGCCACATGCCTCCCCACATGCCCAGATGACCCTGCCCTCAGCCTTACGGCTGTTCTCCACCTCTCTTTCCTACGCCTTGCAGCTGAGGGAGGACGTGCAGGGTGGTCCTCCTGCCTGTGGGTCGACTCACTCCTCCCACGTCATCTCAACCTTTCTGCACGATCCATCTCCTTTCTTCCCGCGCACAGCTCCCTCAGCTGTTTCCTTCGTCCTTGTGTTTTTTAATGTTTATTTTTATTTATTTTCATCGACTTGAAAGAATGAGAGAAAGAAAGGTATCTTCAGTCTGGTAGTTCATCCCCCAAATGCTCACCAGCTCAAGTCAGGAGCTGGTGTTGTGGCACAGTGAGGCTGCCATCTGATGCTGGCATCCCCAATGAGCACCAGTTTAATCCCAGTTATTCCACTCTCAATGCAGCTACCTGCTAATGAGCCTAGGAAAGTCACAGAAGATGACCCCAGCTGCCTGGGTTCCTGCATACACATAGGGGTGAAGCTGCTGGCTTCCGCCTGGCCCACGCCTGGCTGTTGCATCCATTTGGAGAGTGAAACAACAGATGGAAGATGTCTCCTTCTCTCTGTCTTAACCCTTCCTTTAAAAAAAAAAAACCTCATCTGAGTCTTCCACGTGGGTGACACCGGCCCATGATCTGCTGCCTTCTTGGTGCGTTAGCAAGAAGCTAGTTTTAGAGGGAGTATCTGGGACTCAAATGAGGCATTCCAGTAGGGGAGGCGTACTGGGCCGTGGACACTCCAGCCGAAGGCTGCCTTCTGCCTCGGTTCCTTGTGGAAGAGCAGAGACCAGCTCCGGGGACTCCCACCTGCGGAGAAGCAGCCTCTCGGCTTTGAGACCTCTTTGAGCTACTTCCGTCTCCTCTTTTTCTTGGCGGACTTAGCAGGACCATTGCTGGTATTCCATCTGTATTTCATTTCTTGTGAACGCGTTAGCCTTCACTAGCTCAGAGCATCTCTGTGCCTGCTGTTTCTGGGCTGTCCTTGTCTGGGTGGCCATGCACTTTGAGGCTGAGCACTGAGGTGGTTCACCCCTCCGCTTCTTGAAGCTCCAGTCTTCAGGCCACTCATCACAGCCTGGCTCTCTAACCGCTCCTGCCGCTGTCTGGCTCCCATGGGCCTGTTTCCCAGTGTACAAAGTATAGCGGTCCTTTAACCTCCATTCCAGCTACTCTGGTTATTTTTTCTACCTTGCACTGGCATAATTGTTTCTTTCTATCACCTGTGTATGACTTCAAGTGACTCTCCAACGGTAGTTTCAGAGCCCAGTTTCTGCGTGCTGTGCAGGGGTGGGGGTGCCCACCCCCAAACCAACTTCCTGTTCCTTCTCTGATATGGTAAATACTTTTGTCATCTGGTAGTAAAACTTGAAACCCCAAGGTTGTTTTCTTTTGCTTGTTTTTCAAAGATTTAATTGAAAGGCAGAGTGACACAGAGAGAAGGAGGGACAGATCTTCCACCCGCTGGTTCAGTCCCCAAATTATGTAGCCAGCTGAAGCTGGGAGCTGGGCACACCATGGAGGTGTCCACTCGGGTGGCAGGAGCCCACGCATGTGGGCCATCATCTGCTTTCCCACACACTTTGACGGGGAGTAGGATTGGAAGCAGAGCAGCCAGGACTCAAACCGGCGCTCTTGTGGGATGCCTGGTGTCCCTAGCAGTGGCTTAACCGGCTGCACCAAATGTCCACCCCACCCCCACAGCCATTGTTCACTGTGTCCCTTTAGCCCCCCACTCCCAGCTTTTATCACACCATGTCTGCTCTTACTGTTGTGTCACCCACAACAGAGTGTTGCTTCATTGAAGAAGGTGCCCCTTGAGCACCCCACTATTCTTGAGGTGCTGGGACCAGAGCTGAGAGAACCCAGCACAGTGGGCAGCTCTGCCTACCTGCTGTTTCTTGTAGCCTAGCAGATAGGCTGAGCGTGGCAGCTCAGAGTCCGGGCTGGCCAGGAGCCAGGCCTCGGGGGCCTGCGTGCAGTGCAGAGGGGTTTTCATCTTCTCCCGGGGTGATGGGGGAGCATGGCGTTCTCGAGTTTCGGGGGGCAGCAAGAGGAGGCATATCATGTGTCCCTACACAGGGCCTGCTGCTGCCCGTGAGCAGAAAGGGGAGTGGGGTCAGGGACTGGTAAGATCAGAGGCTAGGAGGTGGTCCTGAGAAACCCTGAGATGGCGGCGGGGCTGTCTGAGGGCAGGGTCAGACTCCTGAGTTTTGACCGAATGGGCAGAGGAAGAGAGCCGGCCGACAGCAGAGACATGCTGAGGAGGGAGTAGGTCCGGGTCTGGCCGGGGATAACCCATGGTTTGGCCCTGCCCACTGAGTTGCCAGTCACAGTGCTTCCAGGAGACCCTCTCTGCTTTGGCACTGCTGTGAATTGTCCTCTGTTGTGCCTCGCTTTTAAAATTGTAGTCATACTCAGCCGGGTGTGGTAGCCTAATGGCTAAAGTGGCACTTCTGGGTCTTCCATGCAGCTCCATCCCAGCCTTCCGTTCACTGCCTTCCGCTGAACCTTGAACTTCCCTCTGCCTTTGCGAGACAGGGAATATCGTCCAAGCCACAGACACTCTGTTGCATGGAGCACAGAGCCAGACTCACTGTAGCTGCTCGAGTGAAGTGGGGTGGGTGACTGTTACAGCAGGTTGCATCTAGAGACTGAAATCCAAGGCCACCGTGCAATGAGGACTTCTCAGTCTAACCCCAGGGATATACTGACCTGTGGGTCACTAGAATTCCTTGAGTGACAGAGAACACTGAAGTGCTTCCGGAGTGGGCTCCTTTCTATGTGGCAGGTGATATTGGTACACACTGTGCTTTACTGAAGCATAATTCTTTGTTTTCCTTTTTTAAGTCTAAAGAAAAACTGATCAACAGCTTAAAGGAAGGCTCTGGCTTTGAAGGTGTGGACAGCAGTACTGCCAGCAGCATGGAGCTGGAGGAGCTTCGGCATGAGAAGGACATGCAGAGGGAGGAGATCCAGAGGCTGATGGGCCAGATCCAGCAGCTCCGCTCTGAGTTACAGGTGAGAGCACAGCGGCCCGGCCTCCTGCCAGCACATGACCCTGATCCTGGTTACAGTGAGAGCACAGCGGCCTGGCCTCCTGCCAGCCCATGGCCCTGATCCTGGTTACAGGTGAGGGCCCTGTGGCCTGGCCTCCCCGCCAGCCGGTGGCCCCATCCCTGTTACAGTTGAGGGCGCTGTGGCCCGGCCTCCCCGCCAGCCCATGTCCCTGCTGCTGGCATTCTGAGAGAACAGAGCTGTCTATCACTGGGCACTCAGGATGCCTGCAGCCCAGGAACAGCTTAACTAGCTGTGCCATAACACAGGATGGAGGACTTCTCTCTGACTGTGCCTTCCAGATAAAGTGAAAATAAGATTGAAAAGAGCAAGGTTCATTATCCTGCACTGTTTCCTTACCCTCGACTGTCTCCTGTAATCTTACGTTAAAAACTGCCAGCTTAAGTGAAATGAATGCTCTGATTTTACTTTTGGATTATAGTCATTTCTAGTCATTTGGATACAGTAATTAGTGTAGTTTGGAGCCGACACTGCGGTTCTGCAAGCAAAACTGCTGCCTGCGGTACTGTCATCCTGTGTGGGTGCCAGTTTGGGTCTCAGCTGCACCACTTCCGATCCAGCTCCCAGTGAAAGTTGGCCCAAGTACTTGGGTCCCAGGCACCTGCTGGGGGACCCAGGTGGAGCTCCTGGCTTCACCCTGACCCAGCCCTGGTCAGTGCAGCTGTTTGGAGAGTGAACTAGTGGATGGAAGATCTCGCTTGCTCTCACTCTCTCGCTGCCCCTTCTATCCCTCCCCACCCTCCATCTCCCTAACTCTAGCTTTCAAGCAAGTAAGTCTTTTGAGAAAGAAATCTACCAACTGGCTCACCCCACATGCCTCTCAACAACAGAACCTGAGCCAAGTCACAGCCAAGGCCCTAGAGTCCATCCAGGTCTCCCACAGGTGCAGGGACCCAGCTGCTTGAGCCATCACTGCCACCTTTGTGCGTGTTAGCAGCAAACCGCAGTGGAAGTGCAGGAGCCGGAGGTGAGCCAGGCAATCTGGCGGGGATGTGGGGGTTCCAAACATCTAACCACTACACCAAAATCCTGCCCCAAGGCGTTTATTTGTTTTGTTTTTAATTTTAAAAAGTCTTGGGCTCACTGAAGCCTCTGCCTGTGATGCTGGCATCCCACATGGATGCTGGTTCAACCAGCAGTGTGTGGGCTCCTGGCATTTGGGAGAAGGGATTGGGAGGTGAGAAGGAAAATGAAGGTGCCGATTTTAACCCCTTGGACTACATGGTTGGATTTCTGCTTAACCCAGATGAGGAAAAATCTCTAAACTTCCAGCTGGGCTCTCTGCCAGTAGTAGGTGCTGAAGGAAACCTGGAAGGTGATTTTTGGGTTTCAAGATGTAAATGAGATGATAGTAAAACCACTGGCCAGCTGAAGGAACCACTGTGCTCTGACCACTACTGGGGTCACTGGTCTCTGTGCACCCCACCCAACATACTAGCTCTCAGCTGCCTTAACGGGGAACTGGTGCCATTCAGCCCTTTGGAGTGGGTGATTCTACTCTAGGTGAGATTGTTGGCTTTTGACTGGAGGCGTTCACTTCCTCACGAGCCAGTGTGCCCATTGTGAAAACCGATGGCTTGGGCGCTGCCAGATGCCCTGTGCCATCTGGTACTCTCGTGGGTCAGATGCTGGCTGTCTGCCCCTGAAGGCTGAGGCTGCCTCTCGCCTCCTGCTCCTTTCAGTGCCTCCTGGGTCCAGTTGACAGTGCATCATGCAGGGGTGCTTCAGTTTGTGGAAAATGAAATCAAGATTATTTTGATGCAAAAATAATTTTAAAATCCATGAATTAAAAGATTTTTCTCACTTATTTGAAAGGCAGAGCTACAGAGAGAGAAGAAAAGATAGAAGGGTGGATCTTGCACCTCTGGGTTCACTCTCTGATTCGCCACAGGCTGTGGCAGGCTGAGCCTGAAACCACCTTCCCACACCTCACGTGGGTGCAGGGACCCAACACCTGGGCTACCCTCCCACTGCTTCTCCAGGCCATTCACTGGGAGCTGGATTTCGAAGTGAAATAGCTGGGACTCGAACCAGTGCCTATATAGGTATCGGTATTGCAGGTGATAGTCTAACCCACTACACCACTGTGCCCACCCACAGTTGTTTCATCATGGATATTCTCGTGCACTTTTTTCAAGATCCCCTGCAGGTTGCTCGATGACTATGGGGCTGCGTGGTTAAATTGCTGTTTTCACACACAAGCTGCTTCTTTGTAGGACGCGGAGGCCCAGCAGGTGAGTGAAGCTGAATCGGCGAGGGAGCAGTTACAAGATCTGCAAGAGCAAATGGCTGCGCAGAAGGCATCTAAGCAAGAGCTGGAGACAGAGCTGGACCGGCTGAAGCAGGTGAGGCTGTTTGCTCCTGAGGAAGACTCGTCTTCGCCGTCAGAGGTGGCGGCCTGGCCTCACTGGGCAGCACCTGCCTGTCCAGCCCTGTGAGGAGTTTGTGTTTTTCTTTAAATGGTAATGGGGGTTGCTGAAGATGACACAACCAGTCGGAGAACAGACTAACCGAGGCTTCCCGTGCAAGAGCCGCATTGTTCCTGCTACCTTGTCCTAGAGCTGTGCCTAGAAACCTTAGAATTGTGCTTGATTACTTGGGTGCACCAGCAGTTTATCACAGTACACGGTGCAGGAACAGTAAGCAAGTACATGTGAATACAGATGTAACACGCTGTTAGTGCCGTGTGACTGGCAAAGCACGCTTGGATTTTTTATTTCATTCTTTAGTTGGCAGTTAAGCTTCCTGAATCTAAATATTTGATTTGTTTAAGTTTGTTTTTTTTCCCAAAATTGAAAGAAGAGGACACATGTGATCCATTCAATTCAAGGCAGACAGTTACAAAGCATGGACTCTGTGCTCTGTCCCATGGGGACAGAAATTTAGGTAACATGCAAGAGAATTTGTAAAAATTTATTTTGGAAGACAGAAGGAGAGGGAGGAATTAAGACAGATAAACAGCCTGCTGGTTCATAAGATTTATTTTTATTGGAAAGGCATAATTACAGAGAGAAGGAAATATTCAGAGAAAGATCTGTCTGCTGGTTCACTCACCAAATGGCTGCAGTGGCCAGAGCTGAGCTGATCTGAAGCCAGGAGCCAGGAGCCTCTTCCAGGTCTCCCACACAGGTGCAGGGTCCCAACGCTTTGGGCCGTCCTTGACCGCTTTCCCAGGCCACAGGCAGAGGGAGCTGGAAGGCAAATGGAGCATCTGGGACACAAATTGGTGCCCATAAGAGGTCCTAGCACATGCAAGGCGAGGATTTAGCCACTAGGCTACCAAGTGCTTGGGCTCCTGGCTTTGACCTGGCCCAGCACTGGCTTTTGTGGCCGTTTGTGAAGCAAATCAGTAAATGATCTCTCTAACTTTGCCTTTCAAATAAATAATCTTTTTCTAAACTGAAAAAGTCAAAGCATGGGCCTGACACGGTAGCCTGACAGTTCAAGTCCTCACTTTGCACATGGCAGGATCCCATATGGGTGCCAGTTCTAATCCAGCGGCTCTGCTTCCCATCCAGCTCCCTGCTTGTGGCCTGGGAAAGCAGTCGAAGGCTGCCCAAAGCCTTGGGATCCTGCACCGATGTGGGAGACCTGGAAGAAGTTCCTGGCTCCTGGCTTCAGATTGGCACAGCTCTGGCTGCTTGGTGGGGGTGAATCAATAGATGGAAGATCTTCCTCTCTGTATATCTGACTTTCCAATTTAAAAAAAAAATCAAAGCACAGGACCACATAAAGACTTGATTTGATAGCAGGTATTTTTTCCACAAAAGTGGAAATATATAGAGCCTGGGATGCCGAGGGTGGAGAGGGGGTCTGCGTTGGCTTTCGCTTATTCTGCACACACTGCAGGAGCTCCGCTATGTGGAAGACGACTTGTATCGCACCAAGAACACACTGCAGAGCCGGGTTAAGGACCGGGAAGAAGAAATTCAGAAGCTCCGGAACCAGGTAGGACTGTGGGTGCCACCTCTTTGCCATAGCGCATGCACCTGGGGCAGGTGAGAGGCTGCTGGTGCACAGCCCTTGCCTGGCGTGGGAGTTGCCGTTTGCTGTGCTGTGTGCCTTGCTTCCTGCAGAGGCGTCTCGCAGCCGAGGCCCCAGGGCGGCGAAGGACCCTGTCTTCCGGAGCTGGCAGGTTCAGTGCGGTCCTGCTGATTTCTGGCTTCATAATCGTGTTTTCTTTGACCTAATAAATAATCGGATAATAAATCTTCCTCGTTAACACCCTGCAGTTCTTTCATAAAGCCACCAGGATCCTATTTAACTCTGAAAATGACAAGACATACAGAAAGGGACCCTGTGGAGCCAAAGCCTTGATCGTTCATGGAATCGTAGACTCATCCTACAGTCTTCCCTTGTCCCTCCCTTCCCTACAGTTAAGTGATTGTTTATACAGGCTCACGAATCATTTAAATAATGAAGGACAGTTAAGTCTTGATTCTGTAATAAGTGACTCAGTTTAAGTTCTGCAAAGTCAAATCATTTTAGTCTTAAGTGCTCAGACTTCATAGGAGTCCATGATTTCAAATGTTTGAAAAATGTCTCAGTTTTTGTAGGAATTGGGAAGAGCAAGCTGGGTGCTTCGTTTCCTGCCGCTTCCCCCACCCGTGTCTGTGCCCTGGACAATCAGAGCAAAAGCTTCCGGTTAGCTAAAATACTGTGCTGTTTTTGTTAACCACAGATTTCTTTTGGATATTTTTCATCTAACTAGGACAGGAAAGTCTTTGTTTCATGGAAGGTTAATTACAATTTAAACAGAGCTCAGCGTCCTGTCCTCCCTTGGGGCGCACTGCTGCCAGGCCTCCTGGGAGACCAGCATGTGAGCTAAAACTCCAGCTGCCTGTTTGAACATGTCTCATTCTTTAAATCTGTTGTATGGGAGCAGATGAAAACATGCAGGAAAATGAATCATAATCCTTATCTCCTAATTAGACTTTAAAGTTAACAAAAACTGAGCCTGGCGCAATGGCTCAGTGGCTAAATCCTTGTCTTACATGCACAGTTCACCTCCTGGCTGCTCCACTTCCCATGCACACCCCCCCCCCCCCGACTTGTGGCCTAGGAAAGCAGTCGAGGATGGCTCAAAGCCTTGGGACCCTGCACCCATGTGGGAGACCTGGAAAAAGCTCCTGGCTCCTGGCTTCAGATCAGTGCAGTAGTGGCCGATGTGGCCACTAAGGAAGTGAGTCAGAGGATGGAAGATCTTCCTCTCTGTATATCTGACTTTGTGATAAAAATAAAATAAATCTTAAAAAAAAAGTCAACTGTGACTGCCACAGTTGACCTGTGCAGATCCTGTCCTGTGACTTCAGGATTGAATGGCTTCCGTCTTGGACGATAAACTCATGAACGCTTTGCCTTGCAGCTCACCAATAAGACCCTGAGCCACAGCAGCCAGTCCGAGTTGGAGAACCGCCTGCACCAGCTGACGGAGACACTGATCCAGAAGCAGACCATGCTAGAGAACCTGAGCACCGAGAAGAACTCCCTGGTCTTCCAGCTGGAGCGGCTGGAGCAGCAGGTGCGCGCGACTGCAGGCAGCACCAGCAGCGGCTCCTCCATTAACATGTCTGCATTGGACAGCGGTGAAGGTAACAGAGTATGTCGGACCAAATCCTGCCATCTGCACAGGATTCTGTAAACTTATAGGAGTTTTATTTGAAAAGAAACTTCATCCCTTAAAGGACTCACTTTCTCCCGTGTGAGGTCTGGGCTGTGTGGTGTGTGGTGCTGTGCTTGGCGAACTGGATGGGTGGGCCTGGGCGAGGAGGCGTGGTCAAGATCCTGAAACGAAGTGCCCAGGAGACAGAGAAAAGACTCAGCAGGGTAGGAGCGTTAGGGCCAAACTGGTCTGCAGGGAATTTGTGGGCTCTGATTCTAGCAGAGAAATCAAGATTCTCAAAATACATCATCAGAAAGAAGGTGAAGACTGACTGTCCAGGTGAGCCAGCAGAACTGGCCCTCGGAAGCAGGATAGAAACTGGAAACTGAGAGGAAGGAATAAAGTTTCGGTGCAGAGTGGGTAGAAGGAAGAGATGGGGAGATGGCAGGAGAGGGGGTGGCAGTGAGGGCAGCGACTGGGGTCACAAGCTGGCTGTGCTGGGGTGGAGGGCCAAGGCAGGGTGTGGACTTCAGGTGGGATGGACACATCTGGGAGGCCTCAGCTTCCTGGGGTCTCTGCTGCTAGCCAGTTCCAGGAACAAAGGGGCCATTAAAACTGACCCTTCACTGACACCTGGCATTGGGTGTTTCTTAAGTTGTTGCTAAGAGTTTTCTTGAGTTTTAAATGTTTCTTTTTATAGATATGGAAGTTGAAACATTTGTATAACCACTTGTATCTGCCTTTTCTTAGTGGCCACAATGGTTGAATAGTCAATGGTTGAATAGTCAATGGTTGAATAGTCAGCCTTGAGAATTGCTTCCAGACAGAATGTGTGTCCAACTACTGTTCTAGAGAGTTGATTTTGGTGTCAGTATGTTGATCTAGTTTCTCGTTTAAACAGCAACACGTCTGCGAAATGTTCCAGTTCTCTTTAATGACACAGAAGCTAACTTGGCAGGAATGTATGGGAAAGTTCGTAAAGCTGCGAGTTCCATTGACCAGTTTAGGTAAGCAGTGCCAGCAGGATGAGTGGTGGCCGCCAGCTGTCCGAGTTTTCTTGTGGTTTCAGTCACAGGAGGTGGCACTGGCCTTGCTCGTTTCAGTATATTGTGGTGTAAAACATTGCTTCATGAGGCCTGCTGGCATCCGCATTTGTTGGAGGCGATTAGCCGTGACCATTCCTGGTCTTGCTGCAATAAACTCTCAAAGGAGCTGTGGTTGAATGTCATCAGAAAGGCCCCTCCCTGATGGGAAAGTGGTTTATCCCAGCATGCTACCACAGGCTCAGCCTATGGGGGGCGCTGTGCTCAGACCCAACTGTGTTTTAGCTTTTTTTTTTTTTTTTTTTTAGATTTATTTATATTTTATCTGAAAGTGAGATATACAGAGAGGGGGAGAGACAGAGAGGAAGATTTTCCGTCCATTAATTCACTCCACAAGCGGCTGCAATGGCTGGAGCTGAGCCAATCCAAAGCCAGGAGCCAGGAGCTTCTTCCAGGTCTCCCACGTGGGTGCAGGGTCCCAAGGCTTTGGGCCGTCCTCCACTGATTTCCCAGGTCACAAGCAGGGAGCTGGATGGGAAGAGGGGCTGCCGGGATTAGAACTGGCACCCATTTGGGATCCAGACACATGCAAGGCAAAGACTTTAGCCACTAGGCCACCACACTGGACCCTACTGTATCTTTTATAGATACCACCCAAATCATAAATAGTGTAATCATTGTGTACGTTTATATAATTCATTTCAAGTTAGCAGGAATTTTCCTTATCATGAAAGTATTTGAACAGTTTACATGTACCCTTGATAAAGTCCATGTTTAAACAACCTGCTGTACCCCTCTTCCTCCTGGGGTTTGTAATTCAGCAAGGTTGTAATGAACTAGCACGGAGCAGGAATCTTTTCTTACCGCTGAGCATCAGAACCGAGGCGTTCAGCAGCTGGAGGCTGAGGCATTGAGACCCCTGAAGCTCCCGATCCCAGTTGCACAAGCCCCTGCGTGCTCTGCGTGTCGGGCAGTCGTGCTCACCACACGGCCCAGTTTGTCGCTGGAGAGCCCACGTGTGAGGCAGGCCCGTGTCAGCGGCCGTGAAAGTAGCAGAAGGTGCGTGTCCTCGTGGGAAGAGACATGTCACCAGGAGGCGTGGCCGTGAGGTCAGGACGTGCACCCGCTTCCCCTCTCGCTGCCCAGAGCCGCCCCGTGTTTCTCCAGCCACGAGGAAGGGCTTTGCCAATCCCTCCAACATTTCCACATGGTTGTTTCAAGGTAGCACTTGACAGCGTTCTAGGAAAAGCACACTTTGCCAGAGCTCCTCTGAATGTTGAGCGGGGGGAGTAGCTAGCGTCGAAGCCCGTGGGGAGGCTGTGTGGCCTCTGACTCTCTTCTCTCCCCCCGGCCACCTGTGCAGCATCCGCCTGGGCATCTTCCTGCGGAGGTACCCCACTGCCCGCGTGTTCGTCATCATCTACATGGTAAGTGCCTGCGTGCCCAGCTCTGCACCCGCTCAGCTCAGCTGTGGCCTGAGCAAGAGCCGGCAGTCCATTTGGAAGGGGAGTAAAGGACTCACTGTTGATGTGCAAGAATTCTGAAAGTAGATAACAGTTGTTCGTGTCTAGAGTAGAAAGAGAGGAAAGTGCAGGCCAATCTGCAACCAGGAGCCAGGAGTTCCTTCCAGGTCTCCCATGAGGATGCAGGGTCCCAAGGCTTTGGGCCATCCTCTGCTGCTTTCCCAGGCCACAAGCAGGGAGCTGGATGGGCAGGGCAGTGGAGCAACTGGGACACAAACTCGTGTCCAAGCTGAGATCCATATGGGATCCCAGCACTTGGAGGTGTAGAATTAGGCAAATGTCAAAGTGCCACAGTCCCTGGGCTGTTTTCTTGAAAAGAACCTTCTGAACAAGAAGTACCCTCATCATCCACTAGAGGGAGGAGTTATCCCTTCAGATAGAAGGGAGTGTCTGGGACTGGCGTGATGGCTCAGTTGGTTAGTCTTCCACCTGTAGCTCTGGTATCCCATATGGGCACCAGTTCATGTCCCGACTGCTCTGCTTCTATCCAGCTCCCTGCTAATGTGCCTGGGAAGGTAGTGGCAAGTGGCTCAAGTCCTTGGGCCCCTGCACCCATGTGAGAGACCTGGAGGAGGCTTGGTTGAGCTCTGGCTCTTTGGCCATTTGGGAAGTGACCCAGGAGATGGAGTGTCTCTGTCTCTCCTTCTCTCTGTAAGTCTGCCTTTCAGATACAAATCAATATATATAAAAAAGAGGGAGTGACTGTCAAGATTCAGAGTACTTCCCCCCCCGCCGAGGGGCCAGGTGTGGGGGACTCCTGTCGGTGGGAGACGTGGAGTGTTGCCATGAGAGCACCGTGGGGCACCTGTGGGGCCCAGTCATCCTCCGACACCCCACTTCCCAGCTCCCCTTCCCCAAATCTTGGCTAAAGGTTTTGGAAACACCAGTCGCAAAAAGGGCCTCTGTCATACGCGCACACGTAAGTGGCTCTGTCTGCTCTTGGTGCGGAATCAACACCACGGAATTTCGGAAGCATCATTTTTTCATTTCTGGGCAGCTGGTCATCATTGATCCTCGTGCCATAAAAAAAAAACAAACAAACAAAAAAACACCAATCAGAACTATTCTTTCTTTCTTTTTTTTTTTAATCATTTTTATTTAAAAGGCAGATTTACAGAAAGAGAAGGAGAAACAGAGAAAGATCTTCCTGCTGGTTCACTCCCCAGATGGTCTCAACAACTGGAACTGGAGCAGCCCAAAGGCAGAAGTCAGGGACTTCTGGGACCCAACACACTGGGGCCATGCTCTGCTGCTTTCCCAGGCGTATTAGCAGGGGCCTGGATCACAGGTGGAGCAGCCAGGACGTGAACCAGGGCTCATATGGGATGCTGGCTCTGCAGGCAGAGTCTAAGCTACTACACCACAGCGCCAGCCCTCAGAGCTGTTGTAAATGCCTTTCCTACCAGTTTCTTGTAAACCTAGCACTTTTAACCAAGCTCTCTACTCTTCATTATAGCCCCTCGTAGGTCCTTCATGCCCCCATACGTGTGAGTGCAGGCAGGTCCGGGCCCGCCTCTCCCGCAGCACTCTAGACAGAGAACACTTGCCTTCCTCGAGCGTTCCGTTTCGTTCCTTGGTGGGTCACCCAGCGACCGTGCAGAGACCCGTGCGGCCCTCAGAGGGTGCACAGGCTGGCCTGCCCGCGGTGCACCAGCCCTGCTGGCTAAGCCGCACATTTCTCTCTCCTTTCCTTAGGCTTTGCTTCACCTCTGGGTCATGATTGTCCTCCTGACGTACACGCCGGAAATGCACCACGACCAGCCAACCGGCAAATGACGGCAGCCCCGTTGTCTCAGCCACAGCTTGTCTCCCTCTAGACAGGAACCCCCGGGACAGCCAGCTGCCTGACCCGGGGAGGGTGTGCACAGTGGATTGCATCACTACAAGCCTTTGACTGTCTAAGTTATTACCCAAGGATTCCACTATTAAATGTTCCCCTTGTTTCTTTCAAGTGTGAACTTCTAAAACAGACAGTAATTAATCAGCTCAGCTCTGCGTTTCTGAGTTCAGTGTATGTGTGTGTGTGTGTGTGTGTGTGTGTGTGTGTGTGTGTGTAGAGAGAGAGAGAGAGGGAGACAGACACAGAGACCCAGAGAGAGATTGAGCTGGTTCACCTGTGTACAGACCTTCCTGGATTTCAGGTCATACTGATTATGGGTTACTAATCAGGGCAACTAATTGTACTTAAAATAATAAGTCTGCTCTTTTGATAATCCATTTGGCTTTTATATACATCTAGCTCAGCAGGTGGAGGTGTGCGTTTCACATGGTAGAGGCCTGCTTGGCATGAATCCTGCAAATGCATAAATAAACTTGTGCATTTCTCTTTGTTTATATCATGCTTGTCCCTCGCCATTAAATCTGTCCTTTCCAGACACACATCTTTGAGCACTGGTGGCCGAGCATGAGGTGACCGCAACCTGAGCAGGGAACTCCGAGGCTGGAAATGGAGGTGGGAGCTCATGTCCGGCAGTCCCAGCCCAGCTGTGGCACAGCTGCTTCCGTCCAGGGCAGTGGACCCGCATGGTTCTGCACTTTGACAAGTCATAAAGCAACTGTGGCTCAAGAACTTGGGTGCTTGGGGAATAGCTCCTTGGGCATCAGCCAGGCAGTGCCAACCCTTACACGGCCAGGCTGGCATTGGGGGGGTTGGTGGTCAGGCTTCGGAGAGCAACGGGACTCAACGCAGCACCACTGTGGCTCACAGCCCCCAGGGCTTGGGGCAGTAGTACCTGGAGCCACGGCTGACGTGGCTTGGGAGTGGCCCTCAGGGTGCCTGCTGCTTCCCGGTCCTTGTCCTGCCTGTCTTCCCACTCCCCCACTGGCTCCTTCCTTGAATTCTTTCGTTGGCCTCTTCCCTTTGTAACTCTGCCTAGGAATCAGATGCCTTTTAGTGACCTGTTTCTGTTGTTTTTTGTTTTATTTTTTAAAAGGAAGATTTACAGAGAAGGAAAGACAGAGAGAAAGATCTTCCATCCACTAATTCACTCCTCATGTGGCCGCAACGGCCAGACCTGAGACAGTCCAAACCCAGGAGCCAGGAACAACAACCAGGTGCAGAGTCCCAAGGCCTTGAGCTGTCCTCGACTGCTTTTCCAGGCCACAGGCAGAGTTAGATGGGAAGTAGAGCACCTGGGACACAAACCAGCACCCATATGGAATCCCAGCATATGCAAGGTGAGGATTTAGCTAGTAGGCCATGGGATCCTGGCGGTAACACCGTGAGAATTAGCCACTGAGCCATCACACTGGGCCTACAAAATATGTTTGAAATATACAGTTTTCATAATACATGCTTTTCGCGAATTCTTTGAAGACCTCCCTTATATGTGGATCCTGGGCCATACAAGGATAGTGTTTCCTGCTGGAAAACACCATTGTTATTTATTCGAAAGGCAGGCAGATCTATTTCCTGGATCACTCATGGACACTCTCGGTCCGTGTCTCCCATGGGGGTAGCAGGGACCCAACTACTTAATCCATCCCCTGCTGCCTCCCAGGGGTGCACTAGCAGGAAGCTGGCACTGGAAACAGGCGGAGCTGGCCTTGAACCAAGCACCCTGGCATGGGGTAAGGGCTTCCCAAGCAGCATCTTCACCACTCTGCCAAACGCCAATGCCAGGGCTTCTCTTACTGACATGATTGCCAGGGCTTTACTTGACCTACAAGCCCTATAAATCCTTTACAAGTTTGAGTGCAGTGTTCGATGGGTGCGTTAAGGGGAGATGGAAAGATCATCTCGGGTGTGTTAGAGCTTCCTCCGAACTTGGTCTGAATCCAAAAAGGCAGAAGTTTCTACGTCCTGGCCAGCCAGATTCCGGCCCGGCTCCTCCGTGGGGGACTCGGCCTCTGCTGGAGCCGTGGGATCTTGAGCAGGATCAGGCAAGAGTCTGGTCTGCTTAATGCGCTTGAAAGCTCTCTCCCTTCTCCCTTCTAAGCTTGGGAACATTTCTGGAGCGTGATGGAAGCCAGGTTGCGTACTTAGAATGGAAAACAGCACAGCGCGTCCCTGAGTGCTGCCAGACTCCCTATCTGTGCGGCCGCCCAGCCCGCGCTGCGCTGCATCTGCATCTTTGTCCAGGCGGTGCGTTGTTGACCCTGGAAGTAGTTTGACAAAGCATTTCCGGGATTATTTTCCTCTGGTCTGCTCAAGTCCTGAGTTGGGTTTCAGTTTCGGTATTTTCTGGCCATCCGCTGCAGGGGCTCTGAGGTGCTGCCGCCTAGTCCCAGGCCCCAGAAGCTTCTGGACCTCGTGCAGGGTGCGCAGGAGTGCTGCAGGAGGCTGCCTTCCAGTCCAGCAGATTCAGAGTCACATGTAATCACATCCGCAAACATGCTGCACATTCACACACACACACACCACAGATACACTGCATGTGCCACCTGCATGTCAGCACGCACACACAGGTGTGTCGTCAGAACTCCGATGCCTTGTCTGTAGGTATTTAGATCATTCCTCCACATAACCATGACAGACTAAGCTTCCTGCCAAGTGCTTTGGCCAATCAGGGTCTCTCGGGGCCTGCTTCCTCCTGTGTGGAACAGACACCCATCTTCCCCAGGGACTGCAAGGATTCCAGGAGCTGCCACATTTGACAATGACTGATTCTGCCCTATGTGGGGCAGTGGCTGGAGAAATGCAGGGTCCTTTCCCCAAAGTCTCCTGTTCGCTGGGGAAACCCCCAGGGACTTGGGAGGTGGCCCAGAGCACCTGTGCCAACACCTGTGCCAGCTGCCCCGTGAGGAGCAGACCTCTGCAGGCTCCATGGCCTCGGTCAGCCCAGGCGGATCTCTGTTCCAGGCCAAAGCACAATTAAATCCTGGAACAGCAAGCATGGATAATTACGGGTAAGGCTTGCTAGGCGTGACTCCAGCTAATGCCCAGTCACAGGCAATTAACACTTGTCACGTAATTAGGCTGCTCTGTTGGCAGGAGGGGAGAAGGCAGCCTGCTTGTCTGGAGAGGCAGATGCAGAGCTGGGCCAAGTGGGCCGGACACAGGCCAGACGGGTGCAGGAGCCCAGGCTAGGGGCACGCCCCCGCTGCCCTCTCTGTGTGCAGGTCACATGGGTAGCTCTGCCCACAAGTGGTTCTTGTTGCATCGTGAGCCTGGGTGGGGCTCTGTTTGAGTTATGGCTAAATGGGGAGATAAATGACCTTGATTTTGATGTTGTGTGTTGGTGTGGTGGTTGTCCTCTGAAGGGATTGTGCACCTGCAGAATACCAACGCTGGCATGAAAAGGGCAACTGGGAGGGCTTCCTCCTGCTCCTCGTGCCACTTCATCCAAGCAAATTCAAATCCATGCTCTCTCCCTCACTTTGTTTTTCCAAGACTTGTTTTATTTATTTGATAGAATGGAGAGAGAGAGAGAGAGATCTCCCATCCACTGGTTCACTCCCCGAATGGCCTCAACAGCCAGAGATGAGTCAATCCAAAGCCAGGAGCCAGGAGCTTCTTCTGGGCCATCCTCTTACTGTGTTCCCATGCCATGCGCAGGGAGCAGGATGGGAAGCAGGGAGCTGGAACACAAATCAACACCATATAGGCTTCTGGCAGGGGTAAGGAGAAGTTTAGCCCACTACTCCACAGTGCTAGCCCCTACCTGTTTTTCAAACAATAAACATTGACAAATATACTGTTTTCACTTTTTTTTTTTTAAATTTAAAAGCATCCCTTTAGGGTGATAAGGTCACTCTGCGCACTGGAATGAGGAATGCCCGCCACTGGCCATGTGTCCAGAGGCATGGGCATCCCAGCATCCCGGGCCTCCACTGTGGTCCCTGGGCCAGTGTGACGTGTGTCTCTGCCCAGCACACTGCTCGGCAGGAGGGTTCCATGGCAGTGGGGGCTAGGCAGGTGCGGTCAGGGCATCAGCAGGAAGTCCACATCTCATCTCTTCCTCCCTGTGTTGCTGTGACTCAAACACTGTGCCAGCAATAACAGCTCTGTAGATTGCTTTTAACTCTTGCTTTCTTCAGTTGGTTAATTTTTCTATTTTAAAGGCACCTTGTACGTGTCTGGATCCCATATGGGCACCAGTTCTAATCTTTGCAGCCCTGCTTCCCATCCAGCTCTCTGCTTGTGACCTGGGAAAGCCCTGGGACCCTGCACCCGCTTGGGAGACCTGGAAGAGGCTCCAGGCTCCTGGCTTTGGATCAGTGCAGCTCCAGCCGTTGTTGCCACTTGGAGAGTGAATCAACGGACAGAAGATCTTCCTGTCTCTCCTCCTCTCTGTGTATTTGACTCTCCAATTAACAATTTAAAAAAAAAAAAGGTCATCTCTAGCTGGAAGCAGGACAGAAGTGGGGAGGGCACGAATGATCTGACTCTTGGAAGGCATTCTGGGGACAGGCACTTAGAGAGCTGGGCTCATGGCTCCTGCTCATGCGCACTCTGAGGGCGGCAGGTGATCCCTGAAGGACTGTCCACCCGGGAGGGAGACCCGGATGGAGTGACCACCCCCAGCCTGGCCCAGGCCCAGACCTGGGTGGGCATTTGGGAAGTGAATCTGCTGATAAAAACTTGCTCTTCCCTTTCTCTCTTTTTAATACTAAAATGTTTTGTTTTTTTTTTTTAATGTACAAATACGCTATGTCTATTTCTTTAAAGGCGACGACTTGGAGCCTCAGACTGTGGGCAATAACTGCTGCGGGTCCTGGCTGGGGTCTTGAAGCAGACACTCTGCCGATGAGGGGTACGGGCAGGGCAGGCACCGGCTAGTGCGTTTACAGAAACTACACTTCTCAGTGCTTATGTAAACCCCAAGTTCGCTCTCAAAGACAAAGTCTATAAATTGTTACAAGTTCTCATTTTGCTTGTTTCCCAAAGCACGTCGCCTGGGCCGTGTCAGCTGCCTGGTGACGTGCAAGCCACAGGCTGTGTGTCTTCCAGCGGCTCTGGGCAGGCTCCTGGACTGGGAGGCTGCTCAGCTGTACGAGCGGGTCACCGAGGGGACAGCTGCAGCCAGGGCTTCAGAGCAGCCGTTCATCACACTGGGGGTGGGAGGTGTGTGTTCCCCAGGGGCGCTCACACAACAGGTGCCTGGGGACAGGCAGGGTCAGAGCAGGGCTGGACACAAGTCCCTAACTGTCAGCCTGGCCGTGGCGACACAGGCACACTGGACGCCCTGTGACAGCCCCTGGGGTGAGGATTCCGGCCTCAGCCTCCTTGCCTGTCACAGGAACGCCATGACTTCAGTGTCCTTCCGCCCCTCCTCTGTTAACCCCCCTGGAGCTGACAGCGCTGGCTCTGTCCTGGACCCCGCATGGGCCGGTTTGTCGTTCGAGTTTTAAGGAATTCACATTGGTTTTGAACAATTGCATCCACCGCTTGG